AGTGTTGTAAAGCACAGAAGAGACCCTTCAGCCCATCATGTCTGCAATGACCTATCTACATTAATCCCGCTTTCCAGCAGTTGGCCCATAGCCTTAAATGTTATGACATTTAATGTTCTGAGGAAGGGTCACTCTACCCGAAATGTTAACTCTGATTTCTCTCCAAAGGTGCTCCCAGACCTGCTGAGTTTCTCCAAGAATTTCGTTTTTGTTTGTTTCTCATCTACCCTTTATGCTACCTTAGAATCTTCATATGTTTCAATAAGATCGCTTCTCTTTCTTATAACTTAAATAACTATAGGCTAAATCTGTTCAACGTTTTCTCATAAAACTATCTCTTCAACCCTCACTCAATGTAATGAATCTGTTCCAAGCTACCTGTGATGCAAGTATATCCCATGCAGTACCCCATTTGTGGTGTATACCCCATTTTTGCTCATTCATTTGACTTATTCTCATCCCCATTACAGCTTCTTGGTATTCTCATAAATTATTTTCCTTCCGGTTCTTGTATCATCAGCAAATTTAGTTGCAATACATTTGGCCCCTTCGTCCAAGTCAATGATGAAGAATGTATAGGCCCCAGCACTGATACCTGTGGCAGTGCACTAGCTGTAGTTTGCCAAGCTGTAAATGACTCCTTTATTCTGACTCTGTTGGCTATTAGTTAGCAAAGGCTTTGTCTGTGCTATATCAATGCTCTATCGTCACTAATACCATAAATTCTTACCTTATGTAACAACCTCTTATGTCACACTTTTTTAGACTTTTGGAAATCCAAACATGTTTAATCTTCTAGTTCCCCTTTATCCATCCTGTTGTATCCTCAAAGAACTTTAATAAATATATCAAACATGATTTCCCTTTCACTAAGCCATGTTGACACTGCCTAATTATATTATGATTTTCCAATACCCTGCTACTCCCTCTTTAATAATGGCATTTCCCATGACAGACCTATGGCTATCAGGCCTCTGGTTCCCTTCATTCTGTCGTAGTGCTTTCTTAAACTGAGCAGTTACATTTGTGGGTTTCCAATTTTCTGGAATCTTTCCAGAATTTAGGAAATTTTGGAACATTGCTACCAACCCCATCCACTATCTCTGCAGCCACTTACAAGCCCTCAGGATGCAGGCTGCAAGTTCTGGGAGACTTGTCAGCCTTCAGTCTGGTTTCAAATGGCCAAGAAGTTTGAGTGAGATTACTTTGTCAGTAATAACTTTGTAAGATGATATAAATTGTAATTCACACTACAGAAGGTTAAGAGGAGGCTTTTATAGAGAATAAGCACTGACGTGAGTCTGTTAAACTGAATGGCCTAGCTACAAGTGTTTGTGGAAGTAATAATGCTAGCAATTACAGAGCAATGTGTCAAATTCCATTAAAAGGCAAGCAATGAGAGTTCTTGAGGGAATGACAGACTCTACTGAATCCTCGCAGTTATCCTTCAGTTCCGACACAAACAAAGTTGCTGGAAAAGCTCAGCAGGTCTGGCAGCATCTGTGAAGGAGAAAACAGAGTTAACGTTTCGGGTCCGGTGACCCTTCCTCAACTGATGGTGGCTGGGAAAACGTCATTTTTTATGCAGAAAATAGGGAGGTGGGTGGGGTACGGAGTAAACGATAGAGCCCAAAGAGAGAGAAAGACAGTTGGACAGACAAAGGAGTTGCTAACGATCAGGCTGGGAGGGTGAGCAGTTGTTAATGGGGACTGTTAGTGACTAACAACAAAGGGTGTGTAATGGCAGGCTATGTGGTAACAAGGCCTGGTGTGTGGGGTGGAGGTGCTGGGACGTGGGAGAGTTTAGGCCCTAAAATTATTGAACTCAATATTGAGTCCAGAGGGCTGTAGGGTCCCCAAGCAGAAAATGAGGTGTTGTTCCTCCAGCTTGTGTTGGGTTTCGCTGGAACACTGCAGCAAGCCAGAGACAGAGATGTTGGCCAGAGAGCAGGGTGATGCATTGAAGTGGCAGGCAACAGGTAGTTCAGGGTCTTTTTTTGCGGCAGAACGTAGATGCTCTCACCAAGTCTACGCTTCGTTTTCCCAATGTACAGGAGACCACATTGTGAGTAGCAAATGCAGTAGACTAGATTGTGGGAAGTGCAGGCGAAGTGTTGCTTCACCTGGAAGGTATGTTTGGGCCCTTGGATACCGTGGAGGGAGGAGGTAAATGGGCAGGCGTTGCACCTTTGCCGGTTATAGGGGAAAGTGCCAAAGGGCTCTGGGCAGGTGTTGGGGGTGAAGGAAGTGTGGACCAGGGTGCCCCGGAGGGAACGGTCCCTGCGGAAGGTGGACAAGGGAGGGGAGGGAAATATGTGTCTGCTGGTGGCATTTCGCTGGAGGTGGTGGAAGTGATGTCTGATGATCTTCTGGATGTGGATGCTGGTGGGATGGTAGGTGAGGATAAGGGGAATCCTATCGCTGTTGCAGGAGGGAAGAGAAGGGATGAGGGCAGCAGTGTCGGAGATGGGTTGGACCTGGTTGAGGGCCCTGTTGACAACGGAGCTGGGGAATCCTCGGTTGAGGAAGAAAGTGGACATTTCAGAGGCTCCCTTGTTGAAGTTGGCCTCATCTGAACATATGCGATGGAGACGGAGGAACTGACAGAATGGGATGGAGTCTTTACAGGAAGTGGGGTGTGAGGATGTTTGTTTACAAACCTACTGACTCACACTGCTACCTGGACTAAACATCTTCGACAAGGGAGCCTACGAAATGTCCACCTTCAGGATGAAAGGAATACTAATACAAAGTTCAGGAAAACAATTACGTAAAATCACAAATCTGTTTCCCTTGCACAGAACAGAATTTTTAAATTCTGGGGTAGGTCTAAAAGTTATGTCATCCTGAATTGGTTGTTCTTCAACGTCCTGGAGATTACCAGAAACTGAACTGAACTAACCATTTGAATACTGTGACTAAAAGAGTAGGTCAGAGACTCAGAATTCTGCTGTAATTAACTCACCTCCTGTCTCCCCAAAGCCTGTGCACCAGTACAACACTCGAGTCCAGAGAGTGATCGAATACACTCCACTTGGCTGAATGAATGCATCTTCGACAACATTCAAGAAGCTTGACACCATTCGGGACAAAGCAGCCCATCTTATTGGCATCGCATGCACCACCTTGAACATTGTAAATCTGTGCTGCAGGGAGTCAGTGACTGTAGTGTATACCATCTACAAGATACATTCAATAACCCACCCAGGATCCCTGAGCACTTTTTTCCAACCAGAAGGACAATGGCAGCAGATATACTGGAACACATTACAACCTGCAAGTCCCTCTCCAAGTCTCACACCTTCCTGACTTGTAAATTCCTCCATTATCTCAAAATTCTGGAATTTCCTTCCCTTCCCAGTAACACTCTGGGTATATCTGTAGCAACTTAAGGAGGCAGGTCACCACCATCTTCTCTTGGGAATGAGGGATGGGCAATAAATGCTGGCAGGCTTAGCCAGCAATGCCCGACATCCCACAATGAATAACTGAAAACAAAAATTGCAGTTCAAGTTGGTAAAAAGGTGAATAGCCAGTATGAATTGATTGTCATAAGCAATCTATGCAGAGAAACAGACAGAATCATGTAGCACAGAAGCAGACCCTTTGGTCCAACTCATCCATGCCAACCAGGTATCCCAAACTTAACTAGTCCCATTTGCTTGCATTTGGTTCCTATCCCTCTAAATCCTTCCTATTTGTGTACCCATCCAAACATTTTTTAAATATTGTAATTGAACCCACCTCTACCACTTCTTCTGGCAGCTCATTCCATACACGTACCACCCTCTGTTGAAAAGGTTGCCCCTCGGATTCTTTTAAATCTTTCTCTCTCACCTTAAACCTATGCCCTTTGGGTTTGGACACTCCTACCCTTGGAAAAAGACTTTGGCTATTCACTTTATCTATGCCCCTTGTAATTTTATAAACCTCTATAAGGTCACCCCTCAGCCTCCAATGCTCCAGGGGAAAAAAAGTCCCAGCCTCTCCTTGTAACTCAAACCCTTCAGTTCTGGCAATGCTCTTGTAAATTTTTTCCACGCCCTTTCTAGGTTAATGACATCATTTCTATAGGAGAGTGTTGTTTCTATAGGAGAGAATTGTACGTATTACTCCAAAAGTGACCTCACCAATGTCTTGTACAGCCACAAAGTGACATCCCAACTCCTGCACTCAATGCTCTGACCAATGAAAGCAAGCTTGCCAAACACCACCACCACCATCCACCTGTCTATCTGTGACCCCACTTTCAAGGAACTATAAACCTGCAGCCCTAGGTCCCTCTGTTCAACAACACTCCCAACGACTGTACCGTTAACTGTATAACTCCTGCCCTCTCCTATTTCTGCAGAAGGGTCCAGACCCGAAACGTCAGCTTTCCTGCTTGGCCTGCTGTGTTCATCCAGGTCCACACCCTGTTATCTCTAACTCCTGCCCTGATTTGTCTTGTCAAAATGCAACACTTCTCATTTATGTAAGTTAAACTCCATCTACCACTTCTCAACCCATTGGCGAATTGATCAATATCTCTTTGTACTCTTGGATAACCTTCTTCACTGTCCAATATACCACCAAATTTTCATGTCATCCGCAAACTTACTAACCATACCTTCTATATTCTCATCCAAATCGTTGATATAAATGACAAACGACAGTGGACCCAGAACCAATCCTTGCAGCACATTGCTGGTCACAGGCCTACAGTCCAGTTCTGAAATACAAAACAATGACAAAGGAGGTTGCGAATTAAAATTAATGAAAATGACCAAGCAGGTCAGACTATAACATTTATAGTGTAAAATGTAAAACTGAAACATGCCAAGTAAGTACATCTGGCTGCATTTGTAATGCATGCATTCAAGGAAGTTCACAGTTTATTTTGTTATAACCAAAACAAAATGTCACAGCATAACTTAGTGAATGTAGCAGCTTTTTCCTTTGCCAAGTCTTTTTTAACATGTTGCCATAGCTTAATTTACTATCTTAATTTTGCACTCCAGATTGAAGCTGCACTAAGTCGCATACCTGGTTCAACAGGTAGAATGACTCTGCAAGCAAGGCATGAAAAGGTATGATCGAATTTGGCTGTAACCTGTGTTTTATTGTAATGGAATTAGGTTCGATGAATTTTGACGTATTATTTGCCTTAATTTCTGCCAGTGTAAGGAGACAAGCAAAAATGCATGAAGTGGTGACTACATCACACAATGTAGGCTAGCAGCAATAAAATATGAAATTACTTACTAGTTTTCAATAGTCAGGCAACTAAAATGAGATTTTCTAATCAGTGATATCTTTGAAAGATCGCAGGAACTGAGATAAATTATTACAACAAGAATCTAAGTAAAATTGAAGAGAATCGGAGGGGCCCTTTTTGGACTCTATAACCAGAATAATCTTTGGAACCAGAATGACATTGGTCAGCCCCAAGCTAGTTAGTTCAAACCTATCACAGCAAATAGTGAAATTGAATTCTATATATCTAGTAACTTGTAGTTTGATGGGAGAAAATTTGCCAGACCGCTCATAAAAAGAGCATTTTTTCACCTATGTTTTTGAAGGGAAAAAAACACAATCTGATAGCTTTGGATCATGGCTTCTGGTCTGCGAGTTGGTTTCTGGTGCCTGCAGAAATGACACTCCAATCACTTTGTCTAGAGATAGGTAATTAATATGGCCTTGCCAATATTAGCCACATCCTGAAACAGTGGGATTAGAATTGTCAGGTTGTTGATTTTGACTGGCCTGGACTTGGTGGACTGAAGAGACTTTTTGTGTGCTGTAGATCTCTATGGCTCTATGACTAATAGATAATTAAATAAAAAACAAATAATTGAAATCATAGCATGAATGGCTACTGTGCTATGGCAGACAAATCGATATTGCAGTTACTAAAAGTTGGAAATTAGAGTCCACATGGAAGGAGGCAGGAACAAATATTGAAGATTGGGATCTCTACAAGAACCAGAACAGACCAAAACCAACAGGCAGCTATTACTTGAGGGGAAATAGTATGTCAACAAATAATCATGTATATGCAATAGCTGTAAAGTATTTTTGAATGAAACATTTTAAAAAGCCTGTGACAATTTTTAAATGATGTGGAGATGCTGGTGTTGGACTGGAGTGGACAAGGTCAAAAATCACACGACACCAGGTTCACCTGGGGAAGGAGTGAGACTCCGAAAGCTTGCGTCTTCGAATAAATCTGTTGGACTATAACCTGGTGTCGTGTGATTTTTGACAGTTTTTAAACTTTTTCTTCCATTTCCTAACTATCTAAATAATCTTCATGAAAGTTGCAGATAGGTAGTCTGACTTTCAGGGAAAACGTGTAATGAACTGTGTATAAAATAAACACATTCTCTCAGAAATCTAACTCGGCTGAAACAATTTGAAAAGCCTAAAGCCTGTAGTAGAATTCACAGATCATCCTCTCATCACAAACCACATTTTGCATACTTGCACCCCATATACTTGAATGTGCATACGCTTGCATTATGTATTGCTATAATTTGAACTGTTTTCACAGGAAGCTTTGGAAGATCGTTTAGAAAGAATCAATCGCGATCTAGGATCAATCCGTATGACATTGAAGCGATTTCATGTTTTACGAACTTCTGCAAATTTGTAAACTGTTTTCTGTTCGTTCTTGACCAAATCATTACTTGCACTAAAACGACATGTATATGCACATTTCTCATTGATAAAAGATAGGTTTATTTTGGAATATTGAAACTGAATGATGGCCTTAATATGTGTGTCTATATATTAGAGGTCACACTGTATGTGTAAGAAAACATTCTGTGCCTTTTTAACAAATGTAGTCCATATCTTACTAGTTTTGTGACTTAAAAATTAGAACCAAATCCCCACAAGATTATATTTTAGTAATGTTTAGAGAATGCACAATATCTGTACTTTTGTATTGGATGTAGACCATATAGACTGGTTACTGCTTGTAAAACTTGCACCAAGATGTAAATTGCAAGAAAATATTCTGCAGACTTGGGAGTTTTGTTTCTCAGAATTTTTAAACATTTTATATTTGATGTTGCAATACATTTTGTTGAACTAATTTTTCAAAAAAAAATGAGAAGTTAAATAAACTGATAGGCCAGACCTTGTTGCAATAAAGTGTCTTAATTCAAAGGGGATATGTTGAAAGAAAAATCTATGTATTTATTTACTTTTTGGTTCCTGCAGCAATTTCGTAGAATCTGTGAAATTGATGCCAGTTTCTTTAACAGTGTGCACATCACTCAACCTCCAAGTTCCTCTCTAATTACTAATCTATTAACATTTTTGCTGTAGAGCTAATGCTTGTGAGTTGTGAACCATGAATTTTTGCCTCCCTAGCTTAATTATTGCGGTGCAGCTATGACACTGGAAATACATCTGACAGTATGGAAAATTATCCATGTGCGCCAAATGCTGGAATCCAATCCCTCTACCATCTTGATGGATGAACAGAAATTGATGTAAGAATATTGCCACCAAAATTTTGGATGAGTTTATAATAAAGGAGGGTAAAATGTGGGAGCCTAACCGGGAGTGCATTGGAACAGTCAAACCTGGTGATAATGGCATGAATGAGGGTTGAACTTGTATTGATGAAAATAGATGGTCTTTATAATAGCACAGATGCATGCATCGCGACCAATCAACTTGGATTTTAGAACAAAGAACAGTATAGCACAGTACAGGCCCTTCGGCCCACGATGTTGTGCCGAACTTTTACCCTAAACATAAGGTCAATCTAACCTCCACCCGACCTTTATACTATCATCCAAATGCCTATCTAATAGTCGCTTAAATGCCCCTAATGAGGCTGACTCCACTACCCTCTCCGGCAATGCATTCCACCACTCTGAGTAAAGAACCTACCTCTGACGTCTCCCCTATTTCTACCTCCACTCACTTTAAAACTATGCCCTCTCGTAATAGCTACCTCCACCCTAGGAAAATATTTCTGGCTGTCCACTCTACCTATACCTCTGATCATTTTGTACACCTCTACCAAGTCACCTCTCATTCTTTGTCGTTCTAAAGAGAAAAGCCCTAGCTCTCTGAACTGTTCCTTGTAAGACCTTCCCTCCATTCCAGGCAACATCCTGGTAAATCTCCTCTGCACCTTTTCCAACGCTTCAACATCTTTTTTTTGTAATGAGGTGACCAGAACTGGATACAATACTCCAGATGTGGCCGAACCAGGCTTTTGTATAGCTGGAGCATAACTTCATGGCTCTTGAACTCAATCCCTCTATTAATGAAAGCTAACACACCATATGCCTTCTTAACAACTCTTTCCACCTGGGTGGCAGCTTTCAGGGAACTATGGACATGAACCCCAAGATCCCTCTGCTCCTCCACACTGCCAAGAATCTTTCTGTTAACCCTGTATTCTGCTTCCAAGTTTGTCCTTCCAAAATGAATCACCTCATCCTTTTCAGGGTTAAACTCCATCTGCACTTCTGAGCCCAGCTCTGCGTCCTATCAATGTCCCTTTGTAACCTAGAACAGCCCTCTGCACTATCCACAGCTCGACCCACTTTCATATCATCCGCGAACTTACTAATCCACCCTTCCACTCCTACATCGAAATCATTTACAAAAATAACAAATGGAAGAGGACCCAGAACAGATCCTTTTGGTACACCACTTGTAACTGGTCACCATGTTGAATATTTTCCGTCCAATACCACCCTTTGTCTTCTAAGGGTCAGCCAATTCTGAATCCAATCTGCCACATTTCCCCCTATACCATGCCTCCTTACCTTCTGCATGAGCCAACCATGGCTTACTTAAATCCATGTATACCACATCCACTTCTCTACCTTCATCCACATGTTTGGTTACCCCTTCAAAGAATTCAATAAGGTTTGTGAGGCTTGATCCACCCCTCAAATCCATGCTGACCATCACGAATCAGACTGTGCCTATCCAAGTGATTATAAATCCTATCTCTCCGAGCCCTTTCCAATAATTTGCCCACCACTGAAGTAAGACTAACTAGCCTGTAATTTCGGGGGTTATCCCTATTCCCTTTTTTTGAACGAGGGAATGACGTTTGCCACTCTCCAATCTTCCGGCACTATACCCGTGGATAGTGAGGACGAAAAGTTCATCGCCAAAGGCCCTGCGATCTCTTCCCTCGCTTCCCATAGAATCCTTGGATAAATCCCATCAGGCCCGGGGGATTTATCTATCTTCAAGTTCCTCAAAATTCCTGGTACATCTTCCTTACTAACATTGACCTCCTCTAGCCTACCAGCCTGTTTCACATTGTCCTCCCCTACAACTAGGTCCCTCTCAGTTGTGAATACTGAAGAAAAGTATTTATTAAGGACCTCTCCTATCTCTTTAGGCTCCGTGCACAGATTCCCTTTACAATCCATGATTGGCCCTACCCTTTCTCTGGTCATTCTCTTAATCCTCATGTACGTGTAAAAAGCCTTGGAGTTTTCCTTGATCCTACCTGCCAAGGTTTTCTCATGCCCCCTTATAGCTCTCCTAAGCTCTTTCTTCAGCTCCTTCCTGGCTAACTTGTATCCCTCTAGAGCCTTTTCCGATCCTTGTTTCCTAAACCTTATGTAAGTGTCCTTCTTCCTCTTAACCAGTCGTTCAACCTCTCTCAAGAACCAAGTCTCCCTCACTCGACTGCATCTTCCCTGCCTGCTAGGGACAAACATATCGAGCACACGCAGTATGCATTCCTTAAACAATCTCCACATTTCTACAGTGCTCTTCCCTGACAGCATCTGTTCCCGTTTTTATGTTACCCAGTTCTTGCCTAACAGACTTATAATTACCTTTCCCCCAATTATAAACCTTACCCTGCTGTATGTACCTATATTTTTCCATGACTATTGTAAAAGTAACAGAGTTATGATCGCTACCGCCAAAATGCTCTCCTACCAACAGGTCTAACACTTGGCCCGGTTCATTGCCAAGCACCAAATCCAAAGTGGCCTCTCCTCTTGTTGGTCTATCTACATACTGTGTCAGGAATCCTTCCTGAACGCACTGGACAAAATCCGCTCCATTTAAACTATTACAACTAAAATGTTTCCAATCAATATTTGGAAAGTTGAATTCACCCATGACTACAACGCTGACTTCTGCACCTTTCCAGTATCTACCTCCCAATCCGCTCCTCCACTTCTCTGCAACTATTAGGGGGTCTGTTTTTTAAAAAAAAAACCCAACAAAGTGACTGCTCCTTTCTTGTTCCTGACCTCAACACAAACTGACTCTGACTCTGTAGACATATCATTCTCGAACTGCCTTTCAGTAGGTGCTATACTAGGCCTGACTAGCAATGCCACTCCCCCACCTCTTTTACCACCCTCCCTATTTCTTTTAAAGCATCTAAATCCCGGAACTTCCAACAACCATTCCTGTCCCTGTGTTACCCAAGTTTCTGTAATGGCCACAACATCGTAGTTCCAAGTACTGACCCATGCTCTAAGTTCATCCGCCTTATTTCTGATACTTCTAGCATTGAAATATACACACTTCAAACCATCCCTGTGTCCACAATTCCACTCCATCGACCGCATGTCTTTATTAACAGCCTCCCTCCCTGTTGTGTCTGTTGGAAGGCTGAATACCTCATCCTCTGAATTACAAACCCGGTTCTCCACCCCCTGCCAATCTCGTTTAAACCATCCCGTATAGCTCGAGCAAACCTCCCTCCCAGGATATCTGTGCCCTTCCGGTTCAGGTGCAACCCGTCCTTACCATACAGGTCCCACCTTCCCCAGAATGTGCTCCAATTATCCACATAATGGAAGCCCTCCCTCCCACAACAGCCCTGTAGCCACGTGTTTAGCTGCACTCTCTCTCCCTATTTCTTTCCTCGTTATCATGTAGTACTGGTAGTAATCCAGAGATAACTACCCTGTTTGTCCTGGACTTCAGCTTCCAACCTAACTCCCTGTATTCATTTTTCACATTCTCAGTCCTTTTTCTACCTATGTCATTGGTACTGATACCATGACTGCTGGATTTTGTTGGATTGTATCAGAATTTGATCTCCTCTCATGAGTTTTGTGTACAATCTTCTCAGTGCTATTTTTTTCCGGATTCCTCTGGGCAGTGACTGAGAAGTCTGTTTAAGGTTTCGTCTTGCCACTGCCTGTGGCAGGTGTTTCGGGAGGGTGTAAATGTGACTCATTCAGAACTACATGCTGACCTCATTTCAGAAGCCTTGGATTAGGGCAATCTTGTGTTTGAACCCTATGTGTTGAATGAGTCATGTAGGTCAGATGACTCTAGGTCCTTCATTTGTTCAGCTGGTGTAATGTTGCATGTTTTCAATTGGATGGTCACTTATGGATTAACTTAGATTATGGACTAGGATTTCATTCCGACTCATTGACCAGTGAGATGAATTGAAAAATCTGCATCTCAGTTGAATACTGAACCGTGTTGTCAGCCTTAAAGGGTAGCTGACTCACACTGAGAAGATCGTAAATTCAAACTTTTCTCCAGAGATTTGAGTCATAATTTAAGATGACTGTTTAATGCAGTACTGAGGGTGTGCTGCCCAGTGGGAGGCTGTCTCTTTGGAATAAGATGAGCCCCCCCACCCCAGGTAGATGTAAATACTCCCATTTGGTAAGCAAGAGCATTCTCTTGTCTCTTGGCCAATATTTACCACTCAAACAATATTTTCAGTATTTCTGAAAGCAGATCATTTGACCATATATTAATATTTCATTGTTGTTTGTGGGATCTTGCTGTGTACAAATTGTCTTGCATTTCCTACATGATAGCAGTGACTGAGGTTCAAACATTACTTAATTGGCTGTAAAACACCCTGTGAGGCTTGAGAAATGAAAGACTCAAAATAAATGATGTTTTTACATAGCTTATGAAGGTCCACATAGTTAGATTATTTGACTGTGAAGAATGATGACTTATTTGGCCCTGAATCATGAGAGGAAATCAATAAACCGTCAAAACAAAATGAAGGTTTGTATACTTCGAAAGATTGTTATGAAAACTTTGTTTTAAAAGTATGCAATGTCTGTACTTGTTTTACTTTAATTGGCTATTTCATGTTAAGTTTAAAACAAATTGTAAAATTTATGAAATTAATTTGGATTGTGGTTACA